AGCCATGAAATTCACAAATTTTGAAAGAGGCACCATTGTTTATCAAAGGGCAGATTTAAAAGCATTAATTTATTTTTAGTCAAAATACCCCCCTGGTACCCCTGACCCAGCGGCCCTGAAATTATCTATTTTGAAAGAGACCCCTATCTTCATTACAAGGCCAGCATTTTTTTTATGTTTAGGTTTAGTTATGAACATGAGAATAAAAATGTCCCGAGTGAGAAGAAAATAATTTTTTTTTTGATAAATCAATTATTAACATTTGTACATTCTTTTTTATGCCATTCTAATATATAGGCTCCTTACCACTGGACACATAATGCTTACAAATACGAAAGTAGAACATTGCTTATTTCATCATCTGCCAGTTTGGGCCAGTCATATAAATTTTGTGATGTTGGTTAAAATGTATTTAAAAAAATCAATTCTTTAAATGTCTTTCAATATATCTTCATTTTTTTAATATGTGTTAGGTGAATATGTAGGCATTGTTCTAAAATTTACTTGATGCCTAAAATTATATAATTCCTATCATAAAACAGACAGGGAGTATTAGGGAGTAGGGTGAACATTTTTTTCAATTAAGTGTAAAATAATTTTTCTGGCTGATACAAATGATACTTCATGCCTGTATATATTTGTATATTTTTTCCTTTTAATAGTTGAATTTTTTCTTTATTTCTTCAGGTTATTGTTTATTTCTTCCTCAAATGGACTAAACTTCTTCCATAGTTTTATTCATTACATCTGATGCTTAAGCAACCCTTTTTTGAAGAATGATGCTTAGACTGTAAGCTATAACAGAGATCTAAACAATGTCGCTGACAATATGCAATAGCTACCACTGGCAGTTTAAAACCTGGGGGAGGAAAATAATTTACAGACAGATACCAGCATGTCATTGTGCAACAAAGTCGTCAGCATTTTATTTGTCCTTTGAACGGGTGAAACGTTTTGAATGGCACTCGAGTCGATGAATTTTACACTAAACCAAGCTATCTTCTCAGATAGATCTAGCATTATTTACCCTCCATTTCATCTTAAAACCGGAAGTGCGACTTTGTAAATTTGAAATCTCGATCCCGACTCAAATTTGACATCGGAAAGAAAAAAATGTTTTATTTTTTTCTGAAAATTCTAAACCTTGAGCGGAGGGTTTATAAAACTGAAAATAAAATAAATCCTGGCCTTAAATGTGTAATTAGATCATTAGCATATTAACCAGTAGCAAAGGATAAGATGTTCAAAGAATTTATGCATTTCACTATATAATCATTAGAGCCCCACCCTAAATCAAGAACCCTTGACCCTGGGGCCATAAAATTCACAATTTTGGTAGAGGCACTCTTGCTCATCATAACTATGTACTTAGTTAGTTTATTTAATACCCAGGAGCAGAGAAGAAGATTTTCAAAGAAATAATGTATTTTCACTATATAATCAATGAGCCCCGCCCTCACACCAGAACCCCTGACCCCGGGGCCATAAAATTCACAAATTTGGTAGAGGCACTCTTGCTCATCATAACTATATACTTAGTTGGTTTATTTAATACCCAGGAGCAGAGAAGAAGATTTTCAAAGAAATAATGCATTTTCACTACCTACTTATTTAGCCCCGCCCTAGCACTAGAACCCCTGACCCCAGGGCCATGACTTTCACAATTTTGGTAGAGGACTCATTGCTGATTACAATCATGCAAACAGATTGACTGCTTGATGTCCAGGAGTAAAGAAGAAGATTTTTAAAGATTGCATTAATTTTAGTGGTTTTGGCCCCACCCCTCAGGCCCCAGGGGAGCAGGGATCATGAAATTCACAATTTTTGTTCCCCTTCACCCATACATGCATAATATGGTTAAAATTGGTTCAGTGGTTTCAGAGAAGAAGCTGAAAATGTTCAAATGTTAACACACGACGCACGACGGACGACGGACGACGACGGACGAAAACAGATAGCAATAGGTCACCTGAGTTTACTCAGGTGACCTAATAAAGCATATTGACAATTAAAGTCGACATATTTCATAAGTGTTATCAAAATATTAATTATAAGTAAAATCTATACTATTAGATTTTGAAATATCTGTAAAATAAACAAACTGTTTTAGACAAGTTAGGACAGTGAAATATAGAATTTTAGAAAAAGGTACATCTTACTCAAAACATTGCCCTTAAAATGTTCAAAATGTACATGGAGGATACCTATAATATTGTATTCACAAGAAGAGTTTTTCAGCAATGTATAAATGAGTGTTAGAGAAGGAGAAAAGCGTTATGCATTACGGTTGATGTAATACTTATATATTGATTTTTAAAAAATGTATCTTATTTTCAATAAATTCAGAAATACAATACTGAATCTTTTTTCAGTGTTCTTGGATCATATAAATTTCCCCAAATTTGAACTAATAGAAATTAATTTAATTAGAGAGAGTAGAAATAAGAACTATAATAAATAGCAAAAATGAAAATGTGGACTGCAAGAATTGAATCTGGAGTTTAAAAAAATATATAAATAATATTCGCAAAAGCTAGAGGATATTTGATCTCATGAGTTCATCAGTCTGTTTGTCTGTTAGTCTGTCTATAACAAAAAAATAACCTTGATCATAACATTTAATTGAAAAGAAATAAGGCTCTCATATTTCACATGTACATTATCTTTGACAAGATTTTTCTTAAATATACCTGATTTTTGATCTGTTACCTTAAAGTTTTACCCACTTGTAAAAAATAAATACAAAACTATGTTTAGGAAGGTTAGAGTTCACTTTCGTGGTACACCGTATTGAAAATTTCATTGTGACCTCATGAATAATTTAACAAGCCACACAAATTAACGACATGATGATGCATAATAACAACTTATATTTATTTATTTTATCAATTATCTATAAAATCTGTATACTTGATAGCAATACAGTCGACTAATAGATGGAGTCTCTCGTCAAATATGACGTCACTAGTCTTAACATCACGCAGCACGAATGAATCAGAGGACTAGATTCACTGATTCAATAATTACAAAAATATTTAAATAGATATGAATTCATCTCTAGTTTTTAGCCTAATCAAACTAAAAGATAATAATTCATTAGATACAATTCGTATAGAATATGAATTTATCTAGTACATCGGGGCTGCAAAGGGACGAAGAATGTAGAGAATATCGCTAGAACTATAAGTGAATTCGTGATTTACATCAACAGTGTAAGGGCATTGGCTCTTTTGTTTGAGCTGAAATATAGAAAAATAATTGCTTATATAGTGCATATTTTGAAAAGTGCTGGGAGCTGATCCTGTTTGCATAATATTATTTTTATTTATAACAGAACTTAAGCGAAGTGGAATTTAGCTATTATACGCTTTTGCGGCGCAAAATTTTCAGAACTTCCTAAGGCTTTTTCATAGGGCACAATTGGCCTCCCTAGAAGTAAATATACAGTCCGTTTTTTTTTTTTCATCTATGAATATGACCATTTTCTCCCTTCATAAATATTAGATTTCAGGTCTCATATTAAAGACCCGCAAAAGAGCTGGTCAGTCGCGGCTGTTAACCGAATACTCGAAGCGAAAGCTATATCATCTTAGCTTCTGTTACATTTACATTGTTTTTAGAAAAGAAACAAATTCAATTAATATCTACATTTATTTACCCAAGAATGCTTCCACATAGACTTCAGCTTTTCTGGTCCGTCTTGAAAAGATTCCTTATTTCCTTTCTATATATTTCAATTTAAATTTCCATTCAAATTGTTTCGGATGATTAGACATACCTTAGTTAATTATTATAAACATAAAAAAAAATTGAAAAGTTAAGCTGAATCATATCTACGCCCCTCTAATGAATGAACGTGACACGGTTCTCCATCGTTTGAGATATTACTGTTTTGTAGAGTTTACGCGAAGCACTAATATTTCGCGATGTTTTCGCGAACAATTCGCAACTGAATCACAATTCATTATAATTACAAAAGATTACAAGCACACACTTATTTAGAAATCGCTAATTGGTTACACAAATGGTATAGTCGTACATACTGATAAAAGAAAAAAAAAACTTTCTGAAAAGCAGAGAAAATTCTGACCGATAGCCGATCTACTTAACGTTTTTGAAAGTAGACTTGCCGTGTTTATTTATCAGGTTTCTTGATCGAGTTACCGCATTACAAAAAAGAACTTCAGAACAGTTAAATACTTCAAAGAGGTTCTTGAACATGCTGAAATTTCAAAAGTTTTGGCAATGTATTTACATCAATTAAATGACTTCGGTACGATGTTAGGTTTGACTTACAATGATTACATAATTCTAGAGCCGTGGCTCTATAGGAAACCTATATTTAAATATTTTTTCATAAATAATACAGTGTATTTCATTACAGCTACCAATTAACCGGTACATTGAATTCTGAAAACAATTTATTTGTCTTTGTTCCGTCATGCGTAAAGTCCGGCGAGGGTCTAGGAGAGAATTCATTGATTACTCAAGCTGAAGCCCTAGTGATTAAGTGTTATAACTTTTCAAAAGACTGTAGAATTGTTTGATTAAAGTTTCAATTAGAGAGAATTTGTTTGTATAGATTTTCTAATTATCACAACTCTTACTGTGTCGGCAAAACTTTTACTGTGTCGCATGCATGAAATTTGAAACGTTACTGTGTCGGAGAAAATTTACTGTGTCGGGAGCAACACAGTAAAACAGCTCATGGATAACCCTGCGTAGACTTGTTTGAGTAGCCATTGCAAATGAGATAACTTAAACAAGCAACTTTAATAAGACTTGTTAAAAAAATAATTACAATTTGATTGAACATTCTTTGCACCTTATAGGCTACCGTAGTTCGAAAGATTAATTTAAAGTACGCAATACCCAACTTTAATTAGTTTGATTTTTGGGGGGCATACATTTGATAATTAGAAATTCAAATTAAGTGCAACACAACATAAGGTAATTTTGGATGGTAAATCAATCAAAGTAACTGTACTTTTTCAACTTTCGTTTTGAATAAAGGACTTCCTGCCCATGTAACATGACTTCATGAAGGTCATAGGAATTCTAAAAACATAAGACGAGTTGCTTCTATACGGATATACGTACGAGAATTAACGTTGAATTACAGAAAGGGTTGGTATTATTAGTATAGTAGGTAAATGCAGCATATTTTTATCCTTTATGTAGAATTCAAAGTAAACAAATTGCTCATTAAAGGTCATCCGAGTTACTAAGCTGACGTATATGATATATCTTTCTCGTCATTATTGTGTATATTTTTTGTTGTTCTTTTTCAGATTCAAAAAAGGAAGCTCTTAAAATCATATCCTTGATATAGAATTGATCACACACAAAGTACATTAATTCTTTGGTTTATGCATCGATATTATCGCAGAAAGACCTTACAAAATACGAAAGCTAGAAATATTTATTACATATAAAATATTAAGCATACAACATTTACTCAATTTCTTGTATATTAATGAAAAATAAGAGGACATGTAAGCTAGCGAATATGTATATATATACACGTACTACAGACATGATGGAAAATAGTTTACGTATATGATTTTTCAATGCCTACACTCTCTGTGTCTTATTTGTATTCCTAGTTTAGATGGCTATAATTTTGAAATGTAACATCGCTATGGAGAACATAATCTCGATTCAAGGGCATTCTTCAAATGATACGATTAGTTTACAGTTTTGCTATTGGATATCATTTGGAGAATTGTACACGATAAAACTGATGAGATGCACATTACAATACAATCAAATCATATCGCTTTAAAGAGTTCTATTTATTTACACGTAATTTCCAAATGAATTTGAATTTAAACATCTTTCTGGTTTGTGCACGTACGTCATTGCAACTATGAAAACATTTACATCAATTTCAAACGCACACGCTTCCATGAACGATTATGGCTCGTCCTTTTCCTTAACAGAAACTATGGACCTCTTCCAAAATATTCTGCACAATCATGTCTAATATTCCTCGCACAGACAAACCTATTTTTAGTACAAAAATTGAATTTATAATCTGTCTTTTTGCTTAAAGTCCATTAATTATTACAGAAAATAAAATGCAACAATCATTGTTAAGTTTAAAAAAAAAAATAAAACCGAAAGGACAATTTGAATAGATGAGTTATTCAAATAATAAGTTAAAGCTTCAACTTGTTAATAAATTGTATTTTTATTTTTAAATTATTATTACTTATTTTTTATTTGCTTTTTTCTCGTAACTTCTTTGACTTTTTTTCCCTCTTTTTTGTGATTATTTCCTGTTGCTACATAACATATTTTTTATTTAACATTGTTTACAAGATATTTTTATTGAGATAATGAGCAGTATTCAACCTCAAAAGTCTATCAAACATTGCAAAATAGGTTAAGAGTAAACGCGGACCTCCGATACAGCAGAGGTGAGATCAAGTGGGATCAATTGTATGTAATTGTTATTACGTGATTCCCATTGGTGTAACATAAACACGTCTATGGTAATATATTGTAACAACTGTGTTTTGATTTATTTTTTTTTCTTTTAAAATATTTGTAATTAGTTTTCAATGATCACTGTACAGGTCAAACTCAACAGTATGTGAACAGAAAAAAATATTCATTGAGTTCAATGTATGAATCGTAATTGTTTAAATATTGCTTGCAATATTCAGGTAAGATAAGAAAGTAGTTTATTTTTTTTTTTTTATTAAATAGCCATCTATAGCTATAGATGATATACATATGAATCAATTAACGCCTTTAAGATTTGATTGATTAAGTAAGTTTTTTTTGTCACAAAAGAAGCCAGATGAAATGCATTCGCGAATGTGGTGTTAAATTATTAACCGTCGCACTATCTCTAATCATAATTTCAATTTGAAAAAAGTCAAAGAAAAAAAACCTTGATTGCAAAATGTACTGATAAGATTGTGGCCTTAAGTTAACTTAAGAATTTTATGAAATGTTTAGCATGTTGATACCCTTCTAGTGTTTGTAATTTACATGCAATCTCTATTTATATTATTTGTTAATGTAATTTTTTTTAACAAATATATACATACTTTTGTTTAATTGAGATATATAATTAATCAAAATTTTTTTTTTCATTTAGGAACTATTTCCTTAAATGTACGGTCTGTAATTGACATGGCTGCATCCTTAGCACCAGAAAACTTTGTTCCCTAGTAAGTTTGAAAATATATTCTAAAAGGAGTAACTGTTGTTTATTGATGTTTTTGTTTTAATACCTAAGGATTTTGACACGTTCTATAATGCAGTACCTAAAAATTAAACATCTGGGGCCCGTTTTACAAAAGAACTTACGACTAAGACCATAAACTTAAGATTATTGTAAAACTTTGAAAAATTAATAACTCTCTTTAAATTTTTTTTGTGTAAAAATATCCTACCACATTCCTTTTAAAACATTTAAAATAATTTTCGATATAATGTAAATTAAAAATTTATATGAAGAATTAAACTTGGTCTTAATTCGTAAGTTCTTTTGTAAAACTGGCCCCTGACACCAGAGAACTCAACCTTTTTCAGATAAGGACCACCTGACTGAGATTGAATTGAAAGTATTTTTTACCACAAAGCACAATAATTTAAGTTTAAACGTTTTGCTGATTGCAATATCAATATTCTTCATCTCAACTTTCATCATCCAAATTATTCTAAAAACACAGGCAAGTCACATTGTTAGAGATCTACTTACTATACTACTGCTATTTCTAATGAAACCAATGAAATCGTTACAACCTATCTTAAAGATACTTAAAGTCTTTTTGTCAAGCAAAAGCGTTTTTGAACTTTTTTGTCAAGATACTGGCTTTAATTTTTGATATGTCTGTAATAGGTTGACCCTTGATCTTATGAAATCAAAATGAATATGACAAAAAAGAAGGTATGGTTTCCATACAAATTTTAACCTGTGATTTTCTAAAAAATGAAACTGGTGTAAAAGTTGAAAACTCATGCTTTTTAAATAATTGAAATTCAATGCAGAAAAATCAAGTCATTTCTCTTACATGTGTTTTAAATGCTAATTATGACGTCATAAACATGTGCATTTTCCAGTATTTTCTTAAATGGTCCACAGGCATCGCCCACAAAGATCTTGAGATATGTGATTTGTTATTGAATTTTGCATAAAATATTAACATGGGCGATGGCTGTGGACACTGTTTTCTAAAGGAACCCTTGAAATGCGCCATGTTGAGGCTTTTTTGTTGAAAATAGAGAAATGCTTCACATTAATGATATCATATTTGCAGAATGGTAAACCATATTTTTTCCTGATTTATCAGTCATTTATTTAACTAATATTTAAGCTAGTTTCAAAACTTTTTGATGTCATAACATTTTAGGGAGCAATAAAACTAAAACCATACCTTCTTCTTTCCTATTTCTCTCGAAGGCAATGACCTTGATCATTAACTTTGTGACCTAAAAAGTTTCTTCAAATTAAGTATTTTTAGCTCACTTGAGCTGAAAACTCAAGTGAGCTTTTTGTGATCACATTTTGTCGGGCGTCCGTATGCCTGTCTCTCTGTTAACTTTTCACATTTTTGACTTCTTCTCTAGAACCACTGGCCAATTTCCAAATGCTTAGTGACTTTCTTCATACTGATTGTTGGACTATAATTTACATACAGAGTTGTCCACAAGTCTGTTCCGACGTTTGATTTTATTGTGAGGCCTCTGTTTGTTTTGCTTCAATTTCGATTGTATGACTTTTGAGCTTGAGAATTCATCCTTATTATCATATGTCCCATTGTATTGACCAATGGAAATTATCACTGTTGCTTGACAATTCATAGTCAATATATCTAAATGTTGAGATGAAGGCCACAACAACTTTTTTTACGCATAAGAGTTTGGACAATTTCTGCTTCGCATGAATGCAAAATGCAAAAATAAGTCTGCCAATAACGGGGGAAGGAATTGGAACCTATGGCTGTCAATCAAAAACTCAAGTAACTTTTTAGCTCACCTGAGCCAAAGGCTCAAGTGAGTCTTTCTGATCAAATTTGTCCGCTGTTCGTTGTCGTCGCTTGTGTTGTCGTCTCCTCGTCGCAATTGTAAGCTTTACACATTTTCATCTTCTTCAACAACTACTAGGTTAATTTAAACCAAACTTGGTAAAGACTATCATTGGGTGAAGGGGACTCAAGGTTTATTTTTCATATGAAGGGCCAAATTTTCTACCAAAGGGATTTAATTATGAGATATTGAAAATTAATATCATATTTAAAAAATCTTCTCAAAAACCAATGGGCCAGGAAGGATGACACTAATGTGGAATCATTTTCAGCTATTACAGATTCAAATCAACTGTCAGATTTTACACTAAGAACATACAAAAAGTATCTTTAAAAATCTTTTCAAGAACAGATAAACAATATGTGATCATATTTATGTTATGTATTCTCAGGTATGAAATTCACATTTGAACAAATCATTAGCCCTGGGGGTAGGGTTGAGGCTACAGTGGTCGATCAAGGTTTTTAAAAAGAATATATAGAAAAATCTTCAAAATTTCTTCTTCCCAAGAACAGCAAAGCTATGATTAATTCTATTCAAATGGCACCCCTCTACTTTTTAGGGGTAGGTTATGCGCACTTATGCATTTTAGCTTCTTAAAACAACACTGAATTTTTTATTGATATGACACTTAGTACATGTATAATGATTTTCATCTTATGGTACAAAATAACATCGGGTCTACACACAAGATAGAGTTATGCTTATAGAGTGTGAAAGTTGTTTTGAAAAAATAAAGACAAAGAAAGGGGGAGGGGTCAGCAAAAGAAAAAAACATTCTTCTATTACAAATAATACAAAAAAGATATAAAATCACTCAAATAAGTTTTAGGATGTATATATATGATTGATTGATTGTATATTGTTTAAAATCCCTCTCGAGAATTTTTCACTCATATGGAGACGTCACCGTATGCCGGTGAAGGGCTTCATTTTTTTTTTACCTTTACTCGGCACTCAGGGCCATTGAGCAGTGAGGGATCTTTATCGTGCCAACGCCTGCAGCTGACAAGGGGCCTCGGTTTTTAAGGTCTCATCCGTAGGACCCGCAACTTTCACTTCAAAGTGCCGAGTGCATTGGGAAGGAACAGTTGCTACCCATTTTTTCTCGTCTTAGGTCAGTCGCGGTCGAGATACGAACGCACGACCTCCCGATCATGGAGCGAGCGCTCTACCGATTGAGCTACAGTGAACAATAGAATGTATATATAAACATGTATATTAACTCTATTGCTAACAATGTATCGCGCAAATATTTTGCCAATGCTTTTCGCATTCCTCATATCTACAATTCTTCATCAATAAAAATTTTTCAATCAAAATTCTATCTGTGATCCTCTTTAATACAGCTTCAGTATTTATTCTTAGAACATATTTATATTTACTGTCAAAAATAAATTGTTTTACAATAAGTATTAAAAGGTTTTGAAATCTATAAACATTCATATTTTCAAATTTACCAAATAGTATTGCTTGTCTGTCAAAACAACAATGAATATAAAACTCATTTAAAATCAGTTCTTCAATAGTACATCAAAGTTCTTTTACATGGAAACCTTCAACAGATAAATGATCAATTATTTCTTTGTCACTTCTGCAGAAAGTACATGCTGGAGAATCAATCAATTTTAGTCTAAAGAGAAAATAATTAGTTGGGATGATTCTTTGTAAGATTTGAAACTGTGGCCATTGAAGTTTAGATTCTTGGGTTATTTAAAAAGGGAGTTCAAATATTTTAGCCCAGTCTGCCTCACCAGAGAACAGTATGTTTTCTTTCCATTTCTTCATTGAGTTAACTGGCTCTTTCTTTTTTTACTTATAAGTATGTTATACATATCCTTACAACCTTTATCATGTTTATAAAATCCAAAAATGAAATTTGGAAGATGTGGTCCAATCATTTAAATATTTTTAATTTCATCACTGTTTACATTTTTCAGTCTATCTAACACTGCTATTCTTAGACCATTAAAATAAACAATTTTTTTTTTCACTTTCAAGTTTATCAATGAGTCGAGACTTATGAAACTATCATCATTGTTAAAGAGGTCAGTAAGAAAAACATTGCCTTCATTAAAATAGCTTTTCCAAAAGGAAGATTTATTATTAATTTTAATCGTTGGATTATTCCATATATGTTCAAAGAGCACATGCCTGTCATTCTCTTGGTTTATCATAGTTAGTATTTCCGAGCTTTACAGAACTTCTTTCCAAAAAAACATTATTTAATCTTATTATCCTTCAGAATTATACAGTCAATCTGATTGGTTTAGAGCAGGTCACGTGCAGGGAGACAACTCGTGATGTCTCCCTCACGCGCAGGGAGACAACTGTTATTTCCCTTCAGATGACAATGAATTAGCGTAAGCGATCATGCTGGGTTACAACTGTGTTGTCGCCCTTTGAATAGAACTACAGTGGTTTAAGCGAGATAACTCCTATTTATAAGTACAATGGCTAAATATGCGGGCTCGGTAAACAATAAATTCTAACGATGACGTCAAAGTTGTCTGTTGACATATTTTGAAAGTATGGAATCGGAGCAGAGTAGAAGAAATTAAGAGGTTTGATTACTATTTTCTACTCTATCTAATTAATAATTGTATATATTCTTCAGGATAATAAAACTATTATGGACTGTTTAGAACAGTCCATAACTGTATATTGTTAAGAGATTCAGAATATAATCAGAACCCCTTATCCAAAGATTGTTTATATCTACTTTTAGTTCAGCTTCAAATAGTTTTACCCAGTTTGCATGTGAGTGAATAAATCGTTGATTCAACTTGATTTTAGGGCAGATATAAATTCTGTATAATCAATAATTTTTAGACCTCCATATTTATAGTCCTGGATGATAACATTTTTCTTTACCTTATTAATTTTGCTACCCCATAGAAAATAATACATTTCAGTGTCAAACACCTTCAAAAGTCTGACTTAGGGTTCGGTAAAGTAAGAATTAAATTGCTTAGTTTGGGTAATATTAAAGTTTTAATTAATGTTAACATCCCGATTAGGGTAAGTTTCCTTGAACTCAACTTACGTCACAAAGTTTTGATTTCATTTAGCTTTATGGAATAATTAATATCAAGCATTTCATCCAAGTTTACTGAAAATTTCATTCCTAGAACACCAAATATTGAATTTTCCAAATCAAGCTTCCACCTTGAGTGTAAAATACATCCCTTGATTTTTTTTTTACTTCCAATCCATATCATTTTATTTTTTAAAAATTTATCTTCAAGCATGATATATTACCAAAATAATCTAATTCTCGGAGAATTCCATCCATGGATCTTGGTGAACCATCTGAGATAAGAGATGCATCATCAGCATATTGAGAGAGTTTGTACTCTTCACCCTCAATTGTTATACCTTTGATATCTTGTTTATTTCGAATTAAGATTCCAATAATTTCTGCACATAACAAAAAGACATAATATAACACAGTCTAATATTCTCTCCAATAAATCTACGTTTTATAAATCCAGTCTGGTCTCTATCTAATAATTTGCCCAATTTAGTTTTCCTTCGTTCCGCAATGCATCCTGATTCTATTTTGTAAACAACATCTGAATGACTAATGGGTCGCCAGTTTTTCAGAAATTGTTTTGGGATACAAGTAATGATTCCTAATTTATTTGAGTCTGAGAATAGAAGTTTTTCATTTGAATTATTTATTGATCTTGTAATAAAGGAGCCAATACCTTTCCAGAAAGATTTTGAAAATTCACATGTAAATCCATCCGGTCCTGGTCTTATGTCATTTTCATTTGTTTTAAGAAATTTAAAACTTCAAAGTTTGTTACTGGACCTTCCAGGCTGTTTGATTCCTATATACTTAATTTGGGAATATCACATTTTTTAAGTCTTTCATGAATATTTTCAGATTCTATATTTTTCCTTTTCTTATATAAGTTTTCATGGAAAGCTTTCATTTCATTTAATATCTCGCTTTGGGAAGAAACAATTGATCCATTGCCCTTTTCTATTTAAGGTATTTGCTTACAAACATTGGTTCTTGATTCTAAGCTTACAAAATATTTTGAAGATTTTTCTCCCACCTCAATCCTTTTGACCTTTGACCTTATAAATTGACCTTTGAATTTGATATTCTTTATTTCTTCTACTTCTAGCTCTTTTTTTTTCTTCAAGTTCGTTGATTAACTGATCTGTTAAGTTCTGCTCTGATTTTTAGCTAACCTGAGTCGAAGGCTCAAAAGAGCTTTTCTGATCAAAATTTGTCCGTTGTCTGTCGTTGTCGTTGTTGTTGTTGTCGTAAACTTTTTACATTATCATCTTCTTCTCAAGAACAACTAAGCCAATTTTAACATAACTTGCTAAAAAGTATCATTAGGTGAAGGGGATTCAAATTTGTACAAATGAAGGGCTGCGCCCTCTTCCAAGGGGAGATAATTATGACTTTGTGAAAAATTAATGGCATTAAAAAATATCTTTTTCTCAAGAACCACTGGGCCAAGAAAGATGAAACTCATGTGGAAGCATCCTCAGGTAGTGTAAATTCAAATTTGTTCAAATCATAACCCCCGGGGGTAGGATGGGGCCACAATGGCCGATCAAATTTTAACATAGGAGTATATAGGAACAATCTTTAAAAATCTTCTCCTCAAGAACCACTGGGTCAGGAAGAATGAATCTCATGTGGAATCATTCTCAGGTAGTGTAGATTCAAGTTTGTTCAAATCATGACCCCCAGGGGTAGGGTGGGGCCACAATGGCCGATCAAAGTTTTACATTGCAATATATAGAACCACAAGGCCAGGAAAGATGAAACTCATGTGAAATCATTCTCAGGTAGTGTAGATTCAAATTTGTTCAAATTAGGACCCCCGTGGGTAGGTTGGGGCCAAAATAGCTGATCAAAGTTTTACATAGGACTAGATTGCACTGCACTTGTCAATGTGACGTCATCTCGCAAAAATGACGCACTTTGTACACGGTGAGAGGCTGATAAAGTCAAATTTTGTACAATGACAAATGTTTTTTGCTCTCAAATAAAACATTTTTTGCAATTAAATAAAACGCCGTTAACGTGGATGCAATGTCTATTTTAGTATTGTATTTATAAACTGTCCTTACATTCTCCAGACAAGTGACCCTGTCGTGTGTTTGTAGATTCATTGAAAAAGTAATGGAAGGGCCCATAAATCAATTTATTGCAAGGGCATACCCTCAATGTATCTGTTTTTACACATAAACTCAAGAAGCATTACGATATTTGAAAAGTGCTTCGAACCTTATGAAATCTTGCAAATGAATTAATTATAGCTAATTTTTAATGTAGTTAACCAGCAAAATATTCAACCTTTTTTCCAACAAATTAAATTTTAGCAATTAAAAAAGGGAATCTATATAGGTAAACATATAAATATAAACCACATTACATTCTTTTATATCAGTGAAGTCCTAAAAAGAATCGCCCATCGTAATAAAGTATGTATTTTTTATCTTAAAAAATCGCCGATATTTCCATTTGTAACCTTAACTGTTCTGCCTGATTTACACCACGTCTTAAATGTAATATTGCATTATACTCCTAAAGTTTCTCCTTCATTCCTGTTAATATTTAAGTGGGGAGTAGAGAAAGAGGCTTGATAAAACATTCATTGTACACGCACCCGCTATGTATCTTTGTTTCTAGGGATTTTTGTGAAGATTTGGAATCAAACATAGATACATGGCAATCAAATTCATTAGCATAGATTTTAAGGTTTGATCTGGGTGGATAAATATTTAGACTAACTAGAAACCCCATCAAACATGACTTTGAGTGTCTGTATGAGTACTTTAGCTGTTAGTTTGGACAGTGATTAAAATAAAAATACAGTTCAAATATATTTGAATAAATGTATGTGAAATACATGGATTATATATTTTTGAATCCAATATAACAAATAACGAATTTGTTACAATGTATAACGAATTTAATTCGTTATAACAATTTCTTTGAATTCATTATTATAATTTAATCTGTTTAACCAAAATTTGTTAAAAAACAAATTTGTTAAATTCAATATAACGTATTCTTTAATTGTTATGACGAATTAAATTTGTTAAAACGAATTCAAAAATTTGTTATAACAAATTAAAATCGTTAACATACATTCTAAAATTTGTTATAACAATTTAAATTCGTTAACACAAATTCCAAAATTTGTTACAACGAATTCAATTCATTTAATCAGAGTTAACATTCAGGGCCTTTAGAAAAATACATATATATATGAATTCGATATAACGATTTGTCGAATTCGTTTAAACGAATTCAGTTCGATATAACAAGTTTAAGAATCTGTTAAATCGAGTTAAATTCGTATTAATAAATTTTTAATTTGTTACAATGAAATCAACAAATTTGTTCTAACAGATTAAATTCATTTTAACAAATTCAAAGGAAATGTTATAACGAATTAAATTTGTTATTACAAATTCGACAATTCGTTATATCGGATTCAAAAATATTTTTGATAGGTCCTAAATGGGCTTCTGTACTAATATTTACATATTGGATTAAAAAAACAAATTTGTAGTGCATATACTTTCAGTTATGGGGACGATCATATTTCAAACGAGGAAAGCTTACGTAAAATTTTGAAAGACATCTCTCAGGTTCTACAAATGGAGGAATTTGATCAGGAACTTCAAGATTCCCTTCAAAGAGATCATCCAAATTATATGGAAAATATCGAGGATCGTGCTTTTGATTTGTTGAAAAAAGATTGTGCCATTATCGTTACAGGTAAGTTGAAAAAGATCCATGTTAGGGAGTTAAAATCTTTGACATGATACCAAGATTTCTCACTTTGCATTGTTTCGAATTCCGTAAATATCTGGATTCATATGTTTAAAAATACATAGAATTTTCTAAGGTATTTGCTTATGCAAATTCTTTGCTGAGAAACATGCTTAATTTCCGTTGCATAAAAAATCTGAGCAACATGCTTAGCGATTCTTACCTAAGCATATCACAATCAAATAAAGTACACTGTTGTCATATCAATAAAGTCATTCCCACTTTCAAAGAAATGTAAAAAAAAAACATGACATGATGACAAAACAAAACAAAATATAGTGAAAAATGTAATTCACATTTATTTACCTATAGCATTGATTTGTCTTCCTTTTATAGTTATAAATATAATTATTTTGATAGAATTAATTAATCATAATAGGTTGTTTGATATAATTTTAAGAAGAAAGAGAGAGAGAGAGAGAGAGAGAGAGAGAGAGAGAGAGAGAGAAAATGAGAGTTAATTCAAAATTAAGACTACTTTTTAGAGAATAAAAGGACATGCTATACTGTATACTTTTCCACGAGGAATTTAGGTCCCCTTGTTAAATTTGTATAATTATACATGTATAATCTAATGTGGATTATTTTATGCTTTTTTCTAAATACAGTCATTTGCTTTTCTCTCTCTCTCTCTCGCCTTTAAATAGTTTTGCGCAATTTGTAATTTTAATTATTTCACTATTGACATCTTAATCAACGACTGGGGTGTCGATTGGATGATTGTCTTTAAATTTGTGTAATATGGGATACCTGTAAAGTCTTTTAATAAACATAACTAGATCTCCCAATAACAGTGCTAGACGTAAGACGCAACACAGCTACTCAACAATAAGATTACATCATATTATCGACGGATTTTGGTAATAAATCTTTCAGAGTATACAATTCAATATAATAAAGTAAGCACAGGCAGATTGTAACTTATTTGATTGATTTAGTTACCCTTCATAATTTTCTTTCTTTTTTGTACATTTTTTAAAATTATTATTGTGCTGCTAACTCTTTTATCTAAAGCAATATGCGTAAGAACGTAAAAGACAGGTAAGGATCATGCTTAACTTAAAGAATATGTTGAGTATATACTTAAGAGTTAAGAACTTTTATGCAATATGCTAAGCAATATGTTAAGTTAAATTCTTATCCGTTAAGCAGATGAATGGTACTTAAGTATACACTTCAGTATATACTTAAGGTCTAAGAATTTTTCTGCATATAAAATCTGACCTTACCAACAGCATAATTATATATATGTATATTTAATCTAAATTGTATTGTGTTACAAAGACCGTCATAGGCGTAAAAAAATGCAGAAAATCATTGCCAAATTAAAATCATTAACTTGAAGGTATCAGGGAATTAGCTGGTTTAAGGATGACGTTTACTCAGGTTTCAGAAAACAGAAAGGAAATTTTATAAAGTACAATATTTTAAATCAAAAACTGTTCTAAATGGATAAAATAAACAAGTTTCAAATCAAAATCAATTTGAAAATTTAGTATTATATTATCTAAAGAAAATATACAGGAACAAAAGTCAATGTAAGGTAATGCAGAGGAAATTCGGACTAAATCTTTAATTTTCTATATTTGTCTTTTTTTTTATTTCTTGCAATATTAATCACAAAGTAAGGTTATATGTATTTTCAAACATCATTTTGCAAATATTTTATGTGTCAAAGCTTATTGATTATTTCAAATAATTGAAAGCTGTGAAATAAAGAAATTCAAAAATATGTACAAAACCATTCAACACAACATACATGTATCTCAATAATTTGATCATTGACCCCATATCAAATTAATACCATAAGAATTAGGACAACAATAGTAATAATCAGAGGCTTTCAATTTAGAGTTCTTATCAGTCAGATTTTTGTAATATTCGATTAAAAATGGGGAAAAAATATAAATATGACAGAGGAAATTCGGACAGTAATAATTATCATATTTATGGCCCAAACTCCAATCTTTCCTTAATATGAAGGAACGCTGTTTTATTGCTATAAATATTTCATTATTTAAAGAGTTTAGTTTCTTGTAGTATTTTGTGTGTAAAGAAAAAAATGGTCATAGTGTGAAAAATTGAAGTATTTCCCTAGAAATACTCAGGGGCCACTAGCGTGAAAAGTAGGTCATTGACCTAGTTATTTGAAATTAGAATCAAACACAAGAATCATAGGTGAACATTGTGCAATAGGTAGTTTTTCGTTCTTATCAGTGGAATTTTTGGTCATCTGAGTAAAGGTATACCTTAACAGAAATCCGAGAGAGTGTTACTCTTTAAGGCTTTAAAATATTGGCAGTTACAAGTGGTGGTAAAAGTAAAAAAAATTCGCGAACTAATTGATAAATTTAATTTGTTGGACGGCAGGTTGAACATTTTGCTGGTCGACTACATTAAATATAGCTATAATTAATTTATATGGAAGATTTCATGGGGTACGCAGTATTTTTCAAATATCTCAATGCTTCTTGAGTTAATGTGTAAAAACCTGACATTATACATTTAAGGTATACCCTTGCAATAAATTGATTTATTAGGACCCTTCCATTACTTTTTCAATGAATCTGCATGCAAACACAGCACAGTATCACTTGTCTGAAGAATGTACGAACAGTTTATAAATAAAATATTTTAATAGACATTGCATCCAAGTTAACGACCTTTTGTTTAATTGCAAATGGTGTTTTATTTAAAAACAAAAGACATTTTTTCATTGTACAAAATGTGACTTGATCAGCCTTTCACTGTGTACAAACTGCGTCATTTTGCGAGATGGCGTCACATTGACAAGTGTATTGCGATCGATGTATCGTTTATATACTGTCGTGTGGGGTTTAACAAACAACAAAACTGCATGCAATAGTAAGTTTGTTTGTAGTATACAGCTATCAAGCTGTTTGTAATAGCAAATAATTCTATTTTGTGGTATTTTAAGACCGAATATTGTGTGTGACGTCATAGTAAACATTTCCCGTACAAATTATTTCCGCCTCCTTGATTTAACCTTAACTGTGTTGCGTGCCTCCTTTTTTTCTAACATCTTATATTCTTCAACTCTAAAGATTACAATATTTTAGAGACTAAATAATTAGATTATTGTTAAAAAAATAAACTTTTTTTCTATCTGTAAATTTGCAATATTTCATATCAAATTGCATAACAAAGGACACATATTCTCCCCGCTCGCTTTTACTGATAACAGAACAAAGCTCCATTTTTAACATACCCCTTTCTGCAGTAAAACAACTAATCCAATTAATGACTAATCTGCAAGTCTTTTGTCCTCAAAACATGTAACCATGAACAAATAAGTATACACTACTGCAAAGGATTTGAAGCCTTTCGTTGCTCAAATACCACTAAGTCAACTATTTTTTGTCACAAGTAATTAACATATTGACATAATTTTCATATTGTGGCATCACAGACATGGTGAAAAACAATGCATTACATAATTATACTATTTATAGAACATGTGTTTGACTAAATGTGTTAAATTTCATTTTGATTTACGCTGTTATTCTTAAGTTTCAGAAATAGTAAACTTTTTGATCATCCTTGTAACATACTTAATTTCTTTACACATTTATATTAAGGTATTTGGATCCTGGTATCAAATGTATTGATATATTTTATAAAGTATATTTTAATAATTTACACAAATGTCTTAATAAAAAATTACGAAAAAGAAATTCGGGTCAATTAGTTTCTTTTAACGTTATGGGCCGGTTTTATGACTTTTGCTCTATGGTTTCGCCAATTTCTCAAATTTTCAAAGTTTTTTCCCGATTTATCATTATCTAAATGGATTATAGGAACAAAATCCCTTTTTTACCATAAAGGCTGGCATTATTTTTTGGGGAAAAATCTAAATACTTCGCATAGTCGATTTCTTAACCTTTCTACTCTCGTACGATGTTATATTTCTGGTCTTAAAAAAATTACTAAACAGTAGAATAATTCGCAAATTTTCACATTTTTTCCCTGAAAATATTCAAAATGGTTCAAATTATTATTAAAAAAAATGGTATGTGATTCTAATCTACATATAACTAGTATGATATTAATGTTGAAGTTAAGGCGGTTGGTTTTTTATCAAATCTACTGAGAATTTTCTGAGAAGTATATTTTTATTATCTACCTTTACACACAGAGCTTGATAATTTAAAAAGTAGAAACAAAAAATGGGGTAGGTGCTAACATATTAATCAGTTTTCAATTTTTTTTTTTTTTTACTTTAGATAGTCACATTAAAAAATGTATCCACATAAATAGCTATATAATTTCAAATAACTCCTATAATCAATCATTTGATCTTTCTGCACCAAAAAATGTTATTTTTCTGGTGTGAAAAATTTCAAAAAAAGCAATAAATTCATTGAACGTAGTGAAACCTTTCTGAATTCAAGCAGAGTGGTTTAGTTTATTTCATATAATCAGAAAACAAAGAAAAAGTATGGGTCCAGTAATTGTTTTTAGATATTACTAACTACTATTAATTTTTGGCATAATTTGGGTTACTTTATTTCAAGAACTACACATATATCACAATATATTTGGTATATTTACCAAATATGATGATAGAATTCATGACGGTCAAGGACAGACGAGACAATCCTCTAAAGTATATGCATGTAATTTTTTCCAATATTTTGTCAGTGAAGAATTACCACTTTAACATGTTTACCAACAATCATTGAGGTACATGTACCTTACCAAGCATTTGTGCGAGATACCAGAGGATGAAATTTATTATATAATCCTTAAAGAAAATAAACTTAATTTGCCTAAATCACATTTTTTTGTTTCAATTTAAAAAAAAATAGAAACTGGTTAAGAAATCAGAAAGTAGTTAAAATGTATATTTTTCATATATTATGATAAAAAATTCCGGACAAAAATTCCCGATTACGCAGCTGACTAATACACAAAGTAATCAACTAAATAAACCATTGTTTCAAATCAACAACATACATATAACACTATCAATATTAGTATAAAGCAATATTTTGGCAACGAAAGCTTTAATAACGGCATATATTTACAAACTTTTTTTTTCAACAAACAAAAAGAAGTGTTTATTTTGACATGAACCATTATTATACTATGTGTGCATGCAGCATTATTCTATGTATAATAACATCTTGGTCGGACAAGACATCCTGATTGTGTTGTGTAAAAGTTTGAGAAAATCAATCGTGTCAAAATTTAAAACAAGCACGTTGTTAGGACAGTGGAAATCTGATATTTTCAGAAAATGCACAAGTATTAATTTTGTTTGTTAAACGAAACTTATATTCAACACATATTTATTAAGTTAACTCGAAAAGAAGTTTTGAGATAAAATTAAGGCAACCATATTCACAGAATACTGTGGTTTCATCTATTTTCGTCAGCATAAAATTTCGTGGATTTAGTAAAAGAGACGTTTTTGAAGAAACATAATTTCGTGCACAAAATCTTTGCCTATACAAATGAATATTATATGTCTTAATTCAATGAACATTTGAATTCGTGGATCTGCTCAAAAACGAAATCCTCGAAAATTGATGCTCAACGAATATTGATAAAACCACAGTAATAGTAGCATTATGTGTTCTAAATGTACCCCCCACTCCTCCATCTCTTTATATCTGACCTTGTTCCTCATTTTTCCCTTAATCAGATTACACGAACTCGATTAATAAGCTTGTTCTATATGTAATTTTTCGTGCGTCTCTTTTACTAAGGTGAAACAAGTGCAGGAAAATCTTCGACAATAAATTTACTCCTGAAAACAGATATTCTTCCAGAAGGTGTAGAGGCAACGACAAACGTAATTTGCAAGATAATGCATTCAGAAGAGAAATTGATAAAAATATTTAACCGAAAAGGGAAAATATTTGATGTAATAGATGACGAAAACGGAGAAACTGATCCTCAAAACATGGAGAATTCGAGCGACTTTAAGGAAAGTTCCGACGAGGACGATGTTGAACACCAAAATCTTATTCTTGAGGAAGAGCGTAACAATCCGCAAAGTACCGAGGAAGGGACAGAATATATTTACGTTAAGGAAAACGTCGATGATACTTGTGATGTTTTAGAACGTATATTTGAAAGTGCTTCAAATCCATCCGAGGACATTCATTTCCTTGAAATACACCATCCAATAAGGCTATTGAAAGTATTTTTATACTTTATCTTTTCTCTTATAATGGATAAATATTACATTGTAATTTTGTGTTTAAAACATTTTACACAGGGATTGCATGTTAAATACTAAATTGTGATGAAAAAGACGATTTATCGACTATCAATGCTAACCGTGGTCTTGAAAAAATATATAATTTTGCAAAACCTGCTAAAATTATTTGAAAACCAACTATTTATTTTATCATCTTTTATATCGTGATTCTTCAGAGAGAGCCTGTCTGCGATTACTGATTTTCATGCATAAGCAATATGTATGTTACATAAATATGAGCTTGATTTGTTGGATCATTACATGAAATTTTCGCGAGTAAAAGAACGTTCCGAAATTCATGAATATTTTTGGCGTGTAGTTGTTGTATAGTCAGTGTTTCTAGAGTAATTCTAAAAAAATAGTTATTGACATAATTCAAAATACAAATCAACATCATTAATTCAGAAATTGTTATTTTTTTTAAAACGTCGGTATCAAAACAAAAGTCGCAAACACTCTCTAAACATAAGAAAAACTGAAATAAAAAAAAATGCTTTAAATCCAATTTCAACATGATTTTCAGCAATCGCTTTTTTTTAAGGGAAACATTACCCTTGTTGATACACCTGGAGTAGGAGATTCTGACGAACTCAATGAAATACTAGATGAATATCTACCTTATGCCGTTGCTTTTGTGTTTGTTGTAAATCCAGTCAGCGGAGGAGGAATTCAAGAAGATAGGGTGAGTTGTGTTAAAGATGACAAGCCCTTTTTTAAAGCAATGATCAGTTTATTAAAAGTACCCTGGGATATCTTTTTTCGTCAATCTTTAAACATCAAACTGTAATCGCAGGTATGTTAAGGAAGCATATAAATCATTTCTCGGGAAATTCTCTTAAAAAACTCTTTAAAAAAAAGACTCTTAAAAAAAATGAGTTTGATTTTTTAACAAAACCGCTAATAAGCGTAAACAAAACCTTTCCCGATGTTTTGAATTTTATACATATGAACCGAGATTTTTCGTAAAACCATGCTTAACTCGGGATTTTAGCAGTACTTCCCGATTATTTTAGAAGGCAAACCTTTGATCTGTACAAATCTTATGTTTTGAAATATCCAGCTTATTGTTGTTTTGTTGCGTTATTTTCGTCTTCAAAAATAGTGGAAAGGTCGACCAGGATACGTATCTAGCTGACTGTCTTGGAAAGAGAATATAATCAATGAAATAAATTAGCATACATTTTAAATTAACTAAATTCCATATGAATTTTACAAAATATTCATGATATTTACTATTAAACTCCATTATACTTATCTTTGTACATGCCGTCTTAGCCAAATTCTCTTTACACGACATGGTCAAATCTCAAGTTACTTGATGTACACATATGACGTCATCAGTGTTTGATTTTAACCAAAATGACAGATACAGTATGCCAAAAATAAAAACATTTATTTTTTGTTAATGTTTACACGTTTTTATTCATTTTCTAGAGTTAAATTGCATTTTTAAATACCAATATTACGAAAAGTTGATACTTAAATTGACGTCAACTAGCTTTCTATGACGTCATAATGTAGCACTGATTTAGTCAAGGTAGAATATTTTGCATGCTTCTTTATTTCCCCTTTGATTCTCTGATTGATTTCCTCCAGACGATTTTGTGTTCTCTAATTGATTGATTGTATGCTTTTAACGTCCCTCTAGAGAACTGTTCACTTATTTGGAAACGCCACCACTTGCCGATGGAGAGCTGCACATTTTGACAAATACTCAGCACTCAGGGTCATATAGCAGGGAGGGATCTTTTTCGTGTTAGCACCTACGGCAACATGGGACCTTGGTTTATACGGTTACATAAATAAAAATCACCGTATGTTGTAATTATTCACTGTTTTTTTCTCCAAAAACATTTTTCTTCCACCAATTCTCTTATCTTCTGGTCACATAAAATCAGCTTGGCCGATGTTGCCGGATGACTAAGTTTGTAATCCACACTACCAGAATTTTCCATGAAACTAAAGTCAAAAGGTTATAATTATATATACTCTGTTATAAGCGTTACAACTTTTCACTGGATTCTTATTGTTCCTTATTCCACACACTCCCTATCTCGGGATGGGACCTACTCATAAAGAAACAATACACAATATTAAGTTACAAGTTACTAAATAAATTATCACACAATTGGTTAACCATACATGACACATAAAATATAGCCTTTAGGATATAGCTTTTAGCATACAGCATATAGCATACTGCAGTACTGCGTTTTTACACACACTTGCACTTAATTACTCGTTACACTTATCTATGCAGCACTACACATATATGTACTCAAGTAGAGTTATACAAAAATTTACACTAGATACGTTTATGAAACGTTTGACAAACGGAACACCATACTAGAAAACAAGCGAAAATTTACAACTTACACAACAATATATAGAAACGATCTATAATCTGATAATGATCTGCTAAATTAGCCATGTCTTGAATGGATTTTGGTATTCGCTCTTTTAGAAAAAGAGTTAAATCTCTATTACAAACATGCAAAAACTGATCTCTTAGAACCAAATCAAACAAAGCTTCAAAAGTTTTAGCAATGTTTGCCATTCTCAACCATCTTTGCAGATAACTACTAAGTCTCGCAGAAAATGAATGAAAGTCTCACCTTCTTCTGGCCTGGAGGATCTAGATTTTCGCTTAAATCCATCCTCTGTAAGGTCTGAGCGCTTAAGTAAAGCTAATTTTAACTTATCGTAGTCAAGAGCTTCCTCTGAAGGTAATAGAACATACACATCTAATTCCTTACCTTTAAGAAGTTCGCTGAGATTTGTAGCCCATGTTAACTTTGACCATTTCTGTGTTTCTGCGTATCTCTCGAATTTCCTAAGATAACTATCCATGTCATTATTTCTATCTTCAAATGCTGGAATCTTTTGTCTATTCATTTTTACATTTACCTCATCACTTGAACTTATCTTTAGTTTCCTTTTTTTCCTGGAGTAATTCCATTTCACATTGGTGGGAGATCTGTTGAAGTTTCATTTCCTTGTCATTGTTCTCTTTTAGTCGTTGATACTCTAATTCTTCTCTCTGTCTTTCTATTTCTGCTCTTCTTTCTTTTCTCTCGATTTCCTGTTGGGTTCTTACAAATTCTCTCACATCGTCTTCCTTATAATCCAATGTAACCCCATAGTCAATTATTTCTTTCAACCTTTCAGCCATAATTAATAGATAAACAAACGTCAAGAGTACATAATTAAAGATACAAACGAAAACAAACTTGACTGAAACAACTCAAAATTTCCGAACATACTTAGAGTGGTGTTCACATTATTTTGTGTTCAATATACATGCACTTGGGTACGCCAAATATGCACATAAGATTTTATCTAATACGCAAATTTTACACTGAAAGCACTTACTACTTACACTACTTACACAACACAGACACACAACTTACTGAAGTGACTTCTTATCAGTTTGGAAATTTTGGAGTTTCAGCAATGATTCAACCTATGGGTCCCGATTAACTCTCTACATAGCAAATCTACAATACAAAAGTACAGCAACAATTTTTTTTTTCAAATACAAAATATGTTAAAGACAGATTGATAGGAAGAAGACAGGTAGATATCATTTTTTTTTTAATTCAATTTGAAGTTAAATTTATCACAAAACAAAGAATACCTTTTTTATGATAATAATAAATTTTTAGCTAATGTTGTTCTGTGATCCTCCCCAGTCCTTTGTCCTGGTTTGTTCTGTAAACGGATGACTGTTGCAGCATTTACATTGCTGACAATTGAGCCATAGTGCCATCGTCTGTCATCTGTCTATCAGGGATGGGGTCGATTACTTTCAAAAGTAATCGATTAAGTTACAATTACTTTGGATTTTAAAAGTAATCGATTACAAGCTGATTACAGACATTTTTCAAAGTAATCAATTACATCTGATTACTTTTCCTTCATGTAATCATGATTACTTTTGATAACTTTAGATTACATTAAGTTTTTTTAATGTTCAAGGACAACGGCATGTTTTTATTCTTCTTTCTTTTAATATTAGTAATATTTCTAACGTAAAATTCAGACAAAGTTTGGTGGTACATGTCTTTATATAGATGCATGAGATTTATCTTTTAACATCCAATTTCTATCTTTAATTCAAGTATCTATTTTGTGTTACGGTTGAGAAAAATAGAAAAATATATATATTATTTATAATTATAGTTAGGGATATAAGGATTAGATAGAGAATATTTACACAAGTAACTGACCTTCTTGATTAGTGCTGAACTTTTCAATTGAGCTGCCAATTATTAGATGTTTTTACTAGAATTAACACATTGACTGGTCAAGCATGGATACCACTTAGTTCAATAATTGTTATTACCCAAGCTGACCTAAATTAAGAATACCTGTGTTTTAAAACTAATTATTTTACATTATCTTTCTATGTACATTGTAAATCAAACAAAATGATTTTTAGAACAGACATCTCAATAAAGGAACATTTGATATAAAAAAAATATATACACAAGTTAATTCAAAGATTTGTAGGGAAAACAAAATTTTGCATTATCGGTATATTCATGTTTTAAAATTGAAACCAAAAACAATTCATACTTTAAATTGATCATGTAGATCAAAACTTTTTTTAAGTATATACATGTATCAACTATCTAGTTAAAAATGGCAAATTGCTAAGCTGCTAAAGCATTCTGAAATGACTACTTAATATAGCTAAGAAATGATAGAATTTACTCATTGCCTCAACAATCGACCTGGTTATAAGCATTTCTGGAAGCATAAGAAGAAGATACCTAACTAAATATAGCTTATAGTTTCATAAAAACTTTTGCTTATAAACAAATTGTTACACTGAAAAAAAAAATTCAATGAATATCAAAAAAAATTATGAACTTTGTTTTAATAATCGTAATCACAAAGTAATCAAAACGTAATCATGATTACATGACTTTTTTCAGAGTAATCGATTAAATTACGATTACTTGTAATCAGGAAAATGTGTGATCACTGATTTCTCATGATTATTTGGCAAACTGTCATCAATAACAGCTGATTACAATTACTGATTACGATTACCTCATCCCTGCTGTCAATCAGCAGATATTTGGAGCTAGATGCAAAAAAGAATGAATAGAGACAAAACACAGCTTTTAATTTTGAAAACAATTCACAGAGGAAACATCCAACGTTGAGAGGAATGTTAAAATAAGAGATTAAGTTGTTCAGCTCTTGTCGCCGGAATCAAATTATATTAGACAATGTTGCTGGACAACGAATGGTACAGTTGCTGCTTTTGTCATATTTGTAGATGAGCCGTTGAATGAGATACACAAATAGATTAGCTCTCTATCCGGAATCTGATATCCCTTCCCTTGAGGATTCCTATCCCACTTCTGAAACCACTATTGCCGGATAACTAAGCTTCTAATCCACACTACGAGAATTGTCAATGAAACAAAAGTCAAAAGGTTTCAAATATCTAATAAATAAAATATATCTTATTCTGTTATAAGAGTTACAACATTTCACTGGGCTCGTAGAGTTCCTTGTTCCACACACCCCCTATCTCGGGATGGGACCTACTCATAAAGAAACAATACGCAATATTAAGTTACAAGTTACTACACAAATTATCACACAATTGGTTAACCATACATGACACATAACATATAGCCTTTAGGATATAGCTTTTAGCATACAGCATTTAGCATACAGCAGTGCTGCGTTTTTTACACACACTTGCACTTAATTACTCTTTACACTTATTTATGCAACACTACTCAAGAAGGGATATACTCAAATATACACTAGATACGTTTATGAAACGTTAGACAAACGGAACACCATACTAGAAAACCCGCGAACGTTTACTTATAACACAACTATTTATAGAAACGAACACTATACAAACACGCTTTACATAATGAACAATTTCAACATGTACGGAATATTAAACACAATTAAAAGCATGCCATTTGAACAAAGTTACCAAGAACATTGAAATTAACAAAAACTGAATAAAAGAATAAGTAAAATTCGTACTCACCTTAGAATCTGAGTGTCAGTATCACATGTAGTTGTACTTACAGACTATTGTAGAAATTAACTCGATTTTCACTGACTATGTAATTATGACCCGTGCATGCTTTAGCGTAACACAGCAGAAAAAAAGAATTTACTCAACCGTGCCGGTTAAATAGCCTGGAAGAATTGAGGCTCCATAGAGGATAAAATAATAGAGGTCCCCTATAGGATAACTGAGTATTTTACAAATGCTATTCAAATGCAAATAAAAACATACCTATAGAGTAAATATGACAGCGGATCTCACACCACAGGCGGCATCTACTAGTATCAAAGAGAAATTTTATTTTCGTGTTTAAACTGTTCTTAGTCCGACAAAAAATTCTTTTGTACACACATTTTTGTCGTATATGCCTCAATATTTCCACATAAAATGAGAGTTTGGGGGGGGGGGGTATTACCCCTTCTTTCTTGTGCGTTTTCACGATAAAACCCTCTAGCCAATGAATCATTGTTATGTATAAATCAAGTGAAGCTCGATAAGGTTCCCCACTTTCTCCAATGCCTTCATTTGCATCAAAATTACAGTTTTCAGCAAAACTAAGATTTTGGATGCCTTTAAACACACGATGTTCCGTTTCCATATCTGCACAGATTTGTCTGAAAATTAAATCGTCAACTGCATCAGATATAATATCAAGCATTTTAAAAATTTTGACGTCAAATCTTTTACTTAACGTTTTTAAAACTAATCTAGAAATCTAAATAAATGTTATTTACGGATACAGTCAAAGAAAAGAAGTATATAGGGTAGGAGCCATTTAAGGCACCTACTCAGAAAATTTTTATCTTTACTATGGAGAGGGATAAGGCATGGAAGCTACTATTGATATATAATTTAATTTGATCAGGCGTTCCTTTGCCAGAAAACATACACATACGTCAAAAACATACACCTTCAGACCTCTAAATTTGGCGTCTAATGCCATCTATTGACATTTAACCACGTTTTCATTTTGATATCAACTATATAGTCTTAAGTTAATGAAAGGAAGTATACTTTGGGATATGTCAAAGTGACTGTTTTACTAAGAAAATATATTCTAAATTTAATAGGTATTCCGTTACCATGGAAACTGTATTCAATCTTACTCCTTCATACATGAAATTATGGTTTTATAGAAAATAAAGAAATCTTTAATTTTTTATAGCATCTATAAAATCTTCCATAAAAATGTTTATATTTAGATTTGGATACCTTAATGTGGTTCTTTAACTAATAAAATATATTAAATTTATTATATATCATTATTTCTATATATATATATTATTATATATATTATATCGAATCCTTATTGACATAGGAATGCATTTATGTTAAAGCTTTACAAGAGAGTGGAAAAGAAATAAAACAGGCAAATTCAGAGAATTGTGGTCCCCCGTTTTCGATATCTTTGTGGGTGGGATGTCATTTTTATGACATATTTTGTCAAATTTTGTCCCAGGTAATGCACATGTCAAATATAAAAGCCCTATCTTTTTAAAGTTTTTTTTTTAAATGATTGATTCATGTAGATTCATATTCAATTTGTTTAATGTGGTTTCAGGTGTAGGGCCATACTTAAATTTACATTTTCAGTTCTTTTAAGCTTGCTTTAAATTGAACGCTTTCAACTTTCTTCAGTACGTTGTAATAACCACACATGCAGCAGATGTAATTAATTTGGAATACATCAGCATAGCTAAAGGTCTAAATTAAGTTTTGAATTTTTTTAATAGAATTTTCATGCATGAAAAAATTTCTAGTTACGTTATCCCACCCAAACCATTAGTATGATGGGCACTATTATAAATGACCACCTTATTCTACAAGATGTTTCCTCAAAAAATTTTTATATGACATGAAGTAAGATTTTGGTAATATAATATGAATACTGATTCCTGGACTGAATGTATCGTTTTGCGTAAACTGGAAAGAAGGAATTTTGGCGGGTCTATGAAAGTTTAGAATGACGTCATTATTTACAGGCTATATAATTTAACTTCATTGTTTTACTAATATTAATAATAAGCATAAAATTCACGTACAATAAATAAAAAGAATCCAGATATTTTAAAAATTTCATTTTGGCTTTTTCAAATAAGCTCTGAATCTCGAGGAACTCTAGTATGCTTCAGAAACAGGTAAAAAACAGAAAAATCAGGATTTTTTGCACCTTCCTATATATAATATCCATGTCATGACGTTATATAGAAGTCATTTTGAAAACAATACCACATTCAAATGACTGTAAAAATAAAACTAAAAAAGATTTTTTAAAAAATTAAATTTACTTATATAAAAGCATTGTTTTAGAAAGTTTCATCTCTTTTGGTCCTAGCGTGCATTTCAGTTCATTTAGGCTGAAGTAATCCATAATCGTTCAAAAAACTTTACTTTAATTTTTCGTGACAAACTTATGTTCGAAATTCAGTACAATGTTCGTCATAAAAAAAAGAAAAGCAAACATTACAAAATATTATTCGAATGAGTTTTTGGATAGAACGCATTTCATGAACCCTCAAATTATATATATATATATATATATATATATAAAGAAAAAGGAAATGCAGTTTCCAAATTTCATTTCACACAAACGTTTCCTGGATTTCATAATCCGTCTTTAGGTGAACATAAATTAAACTGATTGTTTTGTTTGGTAATGTTAGCTATGATGCCATGACGTCATTAGAGTCTTTACAGGGAAGGAAGTAATCTATGACGTCATAGTAAGGCTACGTTACGTAAAAGATAGGGAAAATCAAATTGGACAATAATGTACAATAAATCATATTTTCCCCCAGTTACGAGTAACATCTGCGGAGAGGAATACATCGGCCAGACCGGGACCAAATTAACCACCCGCATGCGCGTACATCGCCAACAAATTAATAATTCAAGCCTCAAAAACACGCCATGCAGTGAACATTTCGATGTTTGCCCTTTTATAAACTTGGGAACGATTCCACTGCAATGAGATTAGCAAAAGAAAATTACTTTATAAGTCTTTTTTCACCAAAACTGAACAAACATTAACATTGAGAAATTATCTTTTTTGTATACCAGCAATTAGAATTTCCTTTTTACTTTGTTTATTGAGACTGGGGAAAAATATGATAAATTGTACATTATTGTCCAATTTGATTTTCCCTATCTTTTACGTAACGTAGCCTTATTATGACGTCATAGATTACTTCCTTCCCTGCAAAGACTCTCATGACGTCATGACGTCATAGTTAACGTTACCAGCAAAACAATCAGTTCATTTTATGTACACCTGAAGACGGATTATGAAATCCATAAAGCGTTTGTGTTAAATGAAATTTGGAAACTCTATTTTCTTTTCCTTTTATAATTATTTTCATGTGTAACATCGACTTTCAACAACTTTAAACTATATATATATATATATATATATATATATATATATATATATATATATATATATATATATATATATATATATATATATATATATATATATATATATATATATATATATATATATAAACTGTTGCTTTCAAATCTTGTCATTACATGATTATGATTTCAAAATTAAATTTTCAATACAGATAGTAAAGGTCATGAAGAGTATAAAGGCCAAAACTGATACGATGATATGCTTTGACCCTGCTGATGTTATTTTCCTTGTTAATAAATGGGATGCAATGTTTGACAAGAAAAGGCGGAACACTGATAGGCAGTGGCGCAATGTTGTTGATAGGATCAAACAATCTTGGCCAAAAGTGAATATTGAAAACATCATACAGATGTCTGCCAAACTGGTAAATTGTTGATTCTTTATTTATCTTTCTTCACACAAATTTTCTGCTTTAGTACATTTTGTTTTACTTTTTTTAATGCAGAGGCTGAATATATTTTCCATAAAATTTGACGAAAAGGCATATATTTTTTTTATTTTAAAATCATTGTGTATCAATCAGGCGTACGAGAAAGATCCGACCTACAGTTATAATTTTTCCTGCTTTGAAAAACGTCTGCATTTGCTCATTGACAAAAATATCAACAAAAGAATAGAAAATAGTCACAGGTATTTATTTTTGTACGTCATGTACCATTATCTAAACATGCATAAATATAAATATACCTATGTGATAATTTAAAATGCTTCCTTTGCTTATTTTTCAAAATTTCATATTGATTTATTGAAGCCATATGCTTGTCGAATCCACTATATGCACCTTTCTCCATTACATTATTACTTTAACGCTATGAAAGAAAATTGTTTCAAATACCTGTAAACATTTTTATTTTAGATTTCTTGCAGAAATGTTATCTACATTAGAGATGTTTATCAACTCAAGATTATCCGCTGCAAGCAAATCCTTGCCTGAATTACAAACTGACTCAGAGAAGTGTCTTAAAAGATTGGAAGGCCTTGAGAGAAAGAGCAAGACTGTAAGTTAAAAATAATAGATGGACACTTTACTACACTTATTTATATACTTCATTTTATTTCGATGTTATTTGATGGAAAATTTAAAATACAATAAATAAAAACCTAAATAGATTCCTTCGATTGTAGACGTTGAAGACTTGCACAGACATGTTGGATGATGCAATAAGAAAACACGGAGAAAATTTAATGAAATTTATAAACTCAACGGCTTTTGGAAATCTAGTTCTTCTCCAAGATTCGACATTAAAAAGAACGTCTCAACTGCGGGTTGGTGCTTTGATATCCAAAAGAATTGAAGAGTCTATTTCAGGTTGGATCGAGGAGAATGATGATATATTTATTTCTGACTTAGACAGAAATATCACATGGAAATTTCAGGAAATTCAAAGAGAATTAGAGGAAATTTTAGAGAGATTAGGAGGGACGTCAAGGAACTTTGACATTAGTAAATTACTGAAGACAATATTTTCGGAGGCTTTAAAGAGTGGATTTTATGGATTTGGCTTCGGCTTTTTATCATTTTCTCTTTTGGCCCCTATTTGTAGCATTCCTGTATGCACCGCTGGTGCAGCGGTTGCAATGGTACTTTCCTATAATTACGCAAAAGGTGTTGTTGAAACGCTGAAATTAACGAAAAAAGAAGTCATTGAGCAGTCATTTTTAACAAGACGAAATGCAATCACCAAAGACACGGTTAAAAAAATTTTAGATCAAAAATACGGAGGTCGATACTCTCAATTATTTAAGGAGTTATTCAGCAGGATCATCCCACAAGAAATACAGAATGGAAAATGCTTGCTAAAAAATATAGAAAAGGAATATGAGGGCCTTGTACGTAAAAAGGGTTCTTTGGAAAAACTGTCTCATGAGTTTGCAAAAATAAGAACCAGTCTCCGAAGCTGCCATTTCCTTGATTCTGCAGTGTAAGATCAAACTGGTCATCACAACATTGCAATTGAAAAATGAAATTTACCAAAAGATCGATGGAAACGATGGTACATATTTCTTTAAATGGAGACGTAATGAATCTGTGTTTGTGAAAAAGATTTCGTATTTGTAAAGCACATGGATAAATGGTTATATTTTGATAATTTGCATACTGCAATATTGCATTTAATAAGACATATTTTTTTCTAAATGATATATAATACAGTAGAAGATTGTTTGATTTGAAGTCAGGCTCGACAATGTTTTTTTTCCTTTGCTGAAAAGGGAAACTAATGATCACTTGATGTAAAGAAGAATAGATTGGTTGTATAATGTTTAATGCCCCTCTTGAGAATTTTTCACTCATATGATCGCATGGAGACGCCATCACTTGCCGGTGGAGAGCTGATAATTTTGTCCTTTACTTGACACTTACAGACATTGAGCAGCGAGGTGTCTTATCAACAACTTCTGCGACAAGGGACCTCTGTTTATATGGTATCATTTAAAGGACTGGTTACCACGTCCCGTCGTGGGATTCGAATCCGCGACGTAATGATGAACTCTAAAGAAGAGTTGTTATATTGATAAGAAACGATATGATCATTATTTCATGAATAAAATGTACAACGTACGAGTATCTCCATACGGTTCTGATGTACATATACACAGTTAACAGACGCTTTGGATGAAACCCACTCTGATTTTGCTTTATGATTAATGCTGTGATTTGCCTTTATTAGATGATAATTATTTGCTTGTCATTTCAAGTGTTTATAATTATTTGCATATTTAAGATCTGCATTTAAAATTCCCCAAAGGCCAGATAAAACCTTATTGTATGAATGTTAAATTGAAAAAAAAGACTATTCCGAGAAAGTTTTCAAATTCCTTTGTTCCTTAAAGCTAGTTTCAATCTTTATTTATGTAGAAGTTTGACTGTCACATAAATGTAGCATTTTTACATGTCTGGCCATAAACGATCTATGTAAAATGTACAGAAAAATCATGCAGCTGCACGTCTTAAAATATTTTTGTGTACACATTGTCAGCAATGGTTGTATAAAACAGACTAGTAAAAATTAAATTGTACCTGGATGATATTCGTTAGGAATATACATGTATGTATACTAATTATGTTTATTTTAAAATTAACTTGTATGTATTCTTAATAACGTCTTATGCTGCTTGCTCATCCTATTATCGAAATTAAAAACTGACTGAAAACGCTTTATTCTATCAGAAATACACATTGTACCATTCCGCTAAATGTTAAACACGTGGTGTATTTTATATTGAATTTAGGCATTTTATGAAAAAAATACCGATCGTAAAATATTAGTTTACCTTGTACAGATATGAAACAATAATATTGGAAAGATATATATGTATAAACGACATAATAATATAAAATACAATACAATACACTAAATTCTAATTATTATACAGTTGAACATCCAAAATACAGAATTGAATGATTACTTTTGAATTTGTTCAAATAAGCAATATTCATATTAATTTTTCTTACAATCCATTTTAGAAAAGAAACCTTTTAGCATGGTAACTATTTTCTTAATTCTTCTTCCATAAAATATCTATCCAAAATTTCGCTTTTGTTTTCCATTATTTGTTGATTCTGTAAGAATAATTTTAATAAAGCGTAAATATTTTTCAGTATTTTTCTTGTTCATTTTTAGGTCACCTGAGTCAGATGACCTATTGCTATATTCTTTTTCCGCCGTCGTGCGTCGTTCGTCGTAAACCGTGCGTTAACAATTATACAGTTCACCTTATTCTCTGCAACGGCTCAACCAATTTCAACTAATTTTTAGCACGCAGCATATAAAGGTAAGGGGGGTTGATTGATCGTTTGTATACTGTTTAACGTCCCTCTCCAGAATATTTCACTGATATGGAGACATCACCATTGCCGGTGAAGGGCTGCAAATTTAGGCCTATGCTCGGCACTTACGGCCTTTGAGCAGGGAGGGATCTTTATCGTGCCACACCTGCTAGGACACGGGGCCTCGGTTTATACGGTCTCATCCGAAGGACCGCCCCATTTAGTCGCCTTTTACGACAAGCAAGGCGGTACTGAGGACCTATTCTAACCCGCATCCCCCCACGGTGCTGGGTAAGGGGAAACAGATATTACAAATTTCATTGTCCATGCCCCCCTGTGGCCCGAGACAATCTTTAAAAATCTTCTTCTTTACTCCTGGATATCAAGGCGTCAACCTGTTGGCTTGAATATAATCAGCATTGAATCCTCTACCAAAATTGTGAATTCGGCGCTAGAGGATATATTGTTAGGACGGGGCTACAATGTAAATACATGTAGATTATGTAGTGAAAATGCTTTTTCTCTTTGAAAATCTTCTTCTCTGCTCCAGGGTATTAAAGAAACTAACGAAGTACATAGTTATGATAAACAAGAATGTCTCTTCCAAAACTGTGCATTTCATGGCCCAAAAGGTTAGATGGTTCTTGTGTAAGGGTGGGGCTCTATTTATAATATAGTCAAAATACATTAATTCCAAGAAAAAAATCTTTTCTGCGCATACAGGATTCTTCTTCGAAATATGTGAATTTCAGTGCCCCTGTATTGGTGTTCTGATGAAATTGAACATTTTGAATAAATAAATGTCTAAATTACTCCATCAGTATGAATCAAACACATTAACGTTAAAAAGCCGAATTTAATTCTATCTCTAGTCTCTAAGTGCAGGGGCGGATCCAGCAATTTTCGAAAGGGGGGGGGGGGGGGGAGTTCCAGGGTTGTGTCCATCTAACCCCCCCCCCCCCGCCCTTACACACTCTCAGGCAAAGAATCACACACACACATGTATATTAAAATAAAAGATTGTGGAAAATAATATCTTTGTTTTACGTCCTTTTTTTCTTTGAAAAGGTACCCCCAGTCCATATAAAAAAAATAACACATTTAAAAAACTACTGAAGCCTTAAAATTGAATGGATTTGCAACATTTCCGAAGAGTAGAATTAATTTTCTTAAAGAATTTGAAAATCCTTTTTGGGTTGGGTATAAAACATTGAATTAAATTTTAGTTCCTTCATAAGATTTAGTTTTAAAAAAACGGCACCTTCTTGTATATATAGCTAACACAGCCAAATTAAGATCACGGGAATCTAATATCAAATTTAACCTCGCATGTTACATATTATATATAAGATATATAAAAATAAGTAGAATATTTTCTACCATTCACTCATAAAAAGTAATAGTGAAGGTGAATGGAAATACTAAATGTGTGAGAATCTATCTATTCAAAACATATTTAAGTTAGACGTACAAATACTTATTCTCGGGAAACATTTTATCCCCCTTCTTTCTCTCTCTTTCTCCACTTGGCAAAAAATAAAGGGGGGGTTCCAACCCCCGGAACCCCCCCTCTGGATCCGCCAATGAAGTGTTAAAGAGAGAAAAAAGAAAAAAAACGTGTCTTGTTCCCATATTTTCACATTTTGTTTTGTCAATCTATGTAAAAGATTGTATAGCAAATGTAACCCTTTTGTGTTGACAAAAAAGAAGTAACCAAATTTGGAAAGTTCCTTAAATTACTATCAATGTAGCAATTATGTTTTGAAGAGACCTCAGAGGATGTTTATATGTTCTGGAATTTTATACAGATTGCTCAACCTAAAATGTATATTTGGCTTAAATTTTAAAGTGTTTGGCTCTAAAGGTTTTAAACATGGTACACATGTTTTGTAATTTGTTCATAAATACTGATTCTGAGACTTGAGGATGTGCATTGGGCTTACATTTAAACCTGACTGTGGTTTTGGTTTTTAATAAAATACAAGAAGGATCGAGCACATATTTCCATTTAAAGACATCTATACTGTGAAATAATTTAGACTTTGCTATCCATTTTGTGATATGCAGGAACAATGTCATGCAAAGCTGTAGAGCTCAGATTCACATACATGCATCACAAGTATTAATAATATCTATTGTAAGATTGTACGTCAAAGATGCGGGTATAAGTCAATGAGCACAAAAATATGATTAGTCGAGTACACTTTTGATACATGCATCTGTAATAAAATTGCTTGCTCTGTTATTTTCTACAAAAAAAAAATGAAATTGGTGTAAAAAAAAAAAGAAAACTCAGGCTCTTTGGATCAATGAAATTCCTTACAGAAAAAAATCACACAAATCATTTTTCTAACACGTGTTTTTAGATGCAAATTGTGACATTACAACTATGTGCATTTTCACGTATTTTATTTAAAAGTTGCCGAAGACAGCAATAATCAATGAAATTTTCTTACGGATAACACTATATACAAGCATGTTATCTGATGGGACCAGCCATGTTAGAACTTCAAATTGCAATGGAAGAAAAATGGATTGATCTCCGGCTACGAGGTAAAATGTATTAAATTTGTATTCTGTAAATATTTGAGTATTTTAACTAGTCATAGAAAAATGTTTTGCTGATTTTCAATAGTATAAAATTCAAAGGTAGCCGTTATAAAATGTATTCCAGTATTGTTTAAATATCTTCAAAAAAGGTATTTCATCTTCAATATAGCTTGGTGCAAGTGATGTTCAAGAAGAGGGAACGTTCATATTTTTTTGAAAAGCTAAGAAACTTCGTTTAAACATTGGTCAACGAAGGAACCGAATGTCTATGGAAGCGGAGAGGACTGTGCTACCTACAGGGCTACTTACAGAGGGAAGAACGATGAATCATGCATCAGCAAGTGGAATTATGTGTGCAAAAAATAAATATAAATGGAAATAAATAAAAATTTTCGTTTATGAACAAAATATTTTAAGTCAGGTCTTGGGGGGGGGGGCATTTTCTATTTACTAGTCCGACTTAAAATCTGTGGATTGATCAACTAGACGAAGCATTCCCTTGGCAAACTGAGTGGAAAACAAATTGACTTCAATTGATGGAAACACCTTAGCCCCCCCCCCCCCCCCCCCAAAAAAAAAAAAGAAAAAGAAAGGTATTAGTCAACATTTTAATTTACTTGTAATTTTTCGTTTTAATATTAAAGATAGGCAAATATTAAATCAGTTGTAACCAAGCTGTACTAATTTTTTTTTTTAACTCGTGACTATTGAAGGTTTTTTCTTCATTGTCTAGTACTAATGTTCATTTAAAGTATGAATAATTCCCTGCATCGGATACTATTTGAACAGAACATTATCTTGCCTGTAACTTTATCCAGTGTGCCTTGGAAAAAGAGCTTTATTCAATTTAATGATCTTTTATACTCACACAAACCCCATTCAAGTAATACATGTATGATTTTAGGATATAAGATAAGATAACATTAAGGCTTGAATTCCTGACCATACATTCGTAAATACATATTTTATATAGTTTAAAAAAAATCTACATTCAATTCATCTACTCAGATATAATTATATTTTGATCATAATGGTAAGCCACAAGCTTTTATGCAAGTTTGTTATGGTATGGAGTTTCGTACGAATTTATGATAAGCCTCAAATAACTGACTTGATGCACACAAATTTACCAAGTTTGATGTCGATTTGCTTAATGAAAAATAAGGAATAAAAATGTTTTCCATAAATATCCCTGCGTAAAGTATTCTATCAATTAGGATACCATCTGACAAAGAGTCTTTCATATACAATGTTAGTAAAGATGAATTTGTAAATTTTGATCCCAGCTTTTCTACAAAAAAAAATTAAAACGAAGAATTGTAATTATTTACTGCTCAGCACGCTTTGGCTTTGGAGAAAGCTTCTTATCATAAAGAAGTCATCATCACTTCCGAAAACGACATCAATACTTGGCATAAGCTTCATCGGGATATCAGGTATATCATTTTTGCGTCGTTCCAACACCATTTATTTCTGTCTATACCATAAAGTCTGGAGAACTCAAGGGTCTTATTCTGAAAGTGTTCACCCAGCGCAAGAGCTTCTTCCAAAGGTAGATCATAGTCACCAGGGCGTACCCCATCTGTCCACAAATCTTGAGTTATTCTAGGTCTTCCAAGAAATACAGACCAGTGCAAGACTGTTGGTAGCTTACTTTCATTGCGATGTAAAGCAATTTCCTCATTTTGTCGACACAAAAGCTGTAGAATTTCAGCATTAAACTTGAAGGACAATATAATAAACAATGTTGTTGTTAAAATCATCGACAATCATTCCGAGATCACTTTGAAGATGAGGAAGCTCAAGGTTAAAGAGAAATTCAAAAACTTCTTTATATTGATCTTTTGATGGGAAACATAAAGTCATTTGAAAACTTTTATGTTCATTAACAGAATAAAGTGGCAAATTTGTCTCCCCAGGACCATACCGTATTCCAATAAATGCTGTCTGTAGCAATGAGTATTTTTCTTCTGTCCTAGCTTCTGCGCAGTTATAAAAATCCAAAAACTTTTTCAACAAAGAGAAATTGCCTATGTAAGATGCAAAGTGTGCACAGGTCCATTCATTTTTAGAAGTTGTTGGTTTATGGGTTTCCAAAATTTTGTCCACCACATCTTCCCATCCAAGAAGTATGCAACAGTGCAGGAGAGTCATTCCACGAGGAGAATAATGAAATTCATCGCTTAACAATGAAGTCAAGGATTTGTATTGTTGAATGTACAATACACAGCTATATGTTTTTTCCCTTCCAGTAAAGTTATTAATACATTGACGTAAGAATATTTTCAATGCCTCACGAGAAATAACGAATGATTGTGATTGTTGAGGCCCTGTAGTTTGTTGCAAGGTTTTACTCAATGCATTCAAGTTGACTCTTTCCTGGACACCTTTTGTTGGGACAGGCAAATTACGTTCATTCTGTTTTGCTTCAGATTCTTTTTTTGAACATGAGACAGTGTGAGGTCCATATAACTCTAGCATTTTCTCCAAAATTACAGATGAATATGATCCTGTGATTGCACACCAAATATTTCTAAGAATGTCACTTTGATTATCACACTCTACAAGGTTTAAAAGAACGGAAACGAAAGCAGGGTCTTCGGTGGCAGGTTGCCACAATATTTCTTCAGCTAGTTCCCAAGGATTTATATTTTCACCATCCTGTTCGTAACACAATAACCCCTTAGCTAAAACTTCGTAATTATCTTCCAAAATATCTAAGACAATCTCACCATCCTTGCGCTTATTTTCTAGAGTTCGTGCAGGCTCAGACAGTTTTCTCCTGCTACATGTACTGATAACAATTTCCTGTGCAATCTTACCAAAAGAAACAAGTATTGCCTCAAATACAGTTTCATGTGTAAAAACGTACTCACCATTTTCATTTTCCTCTAAAAAGGACCCTTTAAGAGACATTACTGCATCTAATATTTTACTTCGTTTTATTTCTTTGCCAGCAATATCTAGTTCAAGACAAATTCTTTCAAACAATTTGTTGGTTATTTTATTCGGGTTCATTTTTTCATGGACAGATGTATACACTAAAATTGCATATGACAACTTTTCTGTAAAACTGTCTGATTTGCGTTTGTCGTCTATTGCATTAAATAAATTGTTATCAGGGTGACTAAAAAAATCGCATTTGCATTCGAGGATTTCCGGTCTTGAGAAGAACTGATAGCATACAAGGTTAAATCCATAAAAGGGATTAGTGTCTATAATATTTTCCTTCTCTCTATCTGGGATTTGCAACATGCTTATTTTCTTTACTGCATCAACATTGCTCTCATTTACTTGTTTAATTCCGATGAAGTAATTCCCTTCATATGCTTCAAACATTTTCTTTTTCTCATCCCTAGTGAGATTAGTGGAAATTTTTATCTCAAACTCTTCTTGAAACAACTTGTGATTAAACAATTTTTCCTCTGCTCCCATCAAAATATTCTCCCGCAATCCAATTAAGACGAACATCGCAATTCTTTGCGGGTGCATATATGGCATCCAAATGTCTCTTCCAACATTCAACAGCCCCATTATCAAGATTGGTTGATCCGAGAAAATCTTGTAAATAGACAATTAAACAATTGTTTGGATTGACAGCCCTCAGCCATTGGTCAGGCGTGTTTATAATCAATGGTTTTCGTTTCGTTTTATTGATAGGGTCACCTTCTTCTTCAGTGTCAATTTCCCTGCTTGGCTCAAGCAGGACTTGATATGCAATTGTACTTTTCCCAACACCATGTTTTCCTGTCAATATTGCGATACTGCGTCTCTTTAGCGTATCGATTGTGGCATCAACTGCCGTGGTTCTAACATACACTTTGGACGACGTGTGTTCTTTAAGAATAGCACATGTACTTTCTAAGATAAAAATGATGTATATTCTTCATTGCAATTATTCATATGAATGCATCAAGTGTTTTTTGTGAAATATATCAAGTACTTGCAATCTTCTTTAAATATATCTATCTTGTCAGATTAAGTATGATCCATTTGGAAACATTTATAGTTTTAAATTAAGAATGTAAACCCTATCAGCTGATGGTGCGAGCTTTCTCATAAGTTTTAGCATTTAGTTTTATAGATCAAATAGAATAAGCTGACCTGAAACGGTATATGCCACATGTGCAAATATATCTGCATTCAAAATAATTCTTTTTGCGAAGCGCTGAATATTGATTCATATAAACACTAAACACTTTATTCAGATGCTATCACATCGCTCAAGTATCCAGTTCTATTCTGTCATGAACCACCTTTTGTGTACTGTACGTACTATCCCGATTTTCAAAGATTTACAAACCAATCTGCATTTTATTGCTAGTTCTTTGTTGTATTTCAAAATTTATGAGATGGAAAGCAACAGTACTTGTAATTCAGGGCATTTTACATCTGACGTGAATAAATATAAATATCTCTTTCTCAAGTCAACAGATTCAGAAAAAAAAAACTGTTCTTCGCAAATCTTACCTGCTACAATTTTCATCCCATGTTCTATTTTTTCCTTTGTAAAAAGAAAAAAATGGTGCAAAAAGCATGTAAATTACACGAAAAAGGAAACTGTACAAAAACATATTCAGAAACTCTACAATTGTCTATATGGATAAGACATACAAATTAAATTAATGAGTAAAATTTCGAATCCTATAATTCTATAATTTTCAGAAAAATTTTGAAAAAGAAAGATAAAAGTACTATTATACGACTTACCGAGTTTGTTATTCCTTTCTTCCTGTTTGTTTTGCTTAAATGTTAAATCTGATGTTTCACTGTCATGTCTCAGTTGTGTTGTCATTAATTCATTTGCTAAAATTTCTTGTTTTTCTGAATAAAGAAACAAACCATTTGAAATCACACAGTAAGATTAAATTAATAAACAAGAGGCCCATGGGCCACATCGCTCACCTGAGAAGCTTTGACCATTCTGTTCCTTACCAGATTTCCTCCTAGTAATACATAATGCATCCCCACCCTACCCAACTGATCATAATTTAGACATTTTGAAATCTACACTAAACCAGGATCCTTCCATGTGCACATAAGTATCAACTTTTCTGGCACAGTGTTTCTTAAGAAGAAGATTTTCAAAGATTTTTCCTAGATATTTCTATGTAAAACGTTGATTCCCCATTGTGGCCCCGCCCTCCCCCTGGGGTCATGATTTGAACAATTTAGAATCTACACTATACCAGGATGCTTCCACATCAGTTTCAGCTTTTCTGGGCCAGTGGTTCTTGAGAAGAAGATTTTCAAAGATTTTTCCTATATATTTCTATGTAAAACTTTGATTCCCCATTGTGGCCCCGCCCTTCCCCCTGGGGTCATGATTTGAACAATTTAGAATCTTCACTACTTCAGGATGCTTCCACATCAGTTTCAGCTTTTCTGTCCCAGTGGTTCTTAAGAAGAAGATTTTCAAAGATTTTTCCTATATATTCCTATGTAAAACTTTGATTCCCCATTGTGGCCACGCCCTTCCCCTGGGGGTCATGATTTGAACAATTTAGAATCTACACTATACCAGGATGCTTCCACATCAGTTTCAGCTTTTCTGGAACAGTGGTTCTTGAGCAGAAGATTTTCAAAGATTTTTCCTATATATTTCTATGTAATACTTTGATTCCCCATTGTGGCCCCGCCCTTCCCCAAGGGATCATGATTTGAACATTTTTGAATCTACGCTACTTCAGGATGCTTCCACATAAGTTTCAGCTTTTCTGGCCCAGTGGTTCTTGAGAAGAAGATTTTCAAAGATTTTTCCAATATATTCCTATGTAAAAATTTGATTCCCCATTGTGGCCCCGCCCTTCCACCGGGGGTCATGATTTGAACAATTTGGAATCTTCACTATACCAGGATGCTCCCATGTAAGTTTCAGCTTTTCTGTCCCAGTGGTTCTTGAGAAGAAGTCGAAAATGTGAAAAGTTTACAGACGGACAGACGGACGGACGGACAGACAGAAAGACAGACAGACAGCTAGACAGACGGACGGACGGACGGACGGACGACGGACAAAATGTGATCAGAAAAGCTCACTTGAGCCTTCGGCTCAGGTGAGCTAAAAAGGAGTTACAATAAATATACAAAGGATATCTTACATGTTCTTCAATAAAATTATTACTAAATGTACTTCAAGATTTTACAGAACTAATTAAGTGTAAATTTCTAATAAGTTATAATCTCATAACTTGAATTCTTAGCTGCTTATATTTTATATCATTTACAGAATTTAATATTGGGTCAAGTACAAAAAAAAACCCCAAAAAACAGTCAATTTATATTTAAGGATAAAGACATTATTTTTAAAGATTTAGACTCTGTTTATGCACGAAATAGTCCTATAAATGAACCAATTTATGACAAACACTCCATGATTAATTTTAAACATCAGGATAAAGTAAAGACTAAGTTTTCTACTAAAAATCGTCACCTGAGCGTCCAGGTATTGGAAAACATGCTTCAGGAAATTGCAGTTTTTGCATTTTAAGGAAAATATAAAAAAAAATATATAAACCCATTCCTTAATTATTTTTGGATGATCTTATTTATGTAGCTTGATCATTCTTGTGGAAGATTTATGGATTTAAAAATGTATTATCGAATTCATCATAATACATTGACAGGCCAAAAAGGTATGTCATTTTTATAGATAATAGTCCAAATAATAATATATATTTTCCTTAACTAAAAACAAAATTTAATAAGTGAAACTTCTTCTTTTAACGCGTAAATATTTATTACATTTAAAAGGAACACATTAAGTTACATAGTACTATTCTAAAGCTTTTACAATGTGTTTCATCCCCCTTTTTGCAATGAGAATTTTCCCCTACCAAACAGATGTTTGAGAGATTTTGCACATTTCATTTTGTATTTTTCAAATACACGTATGCATTGCACATACTTTTGATGTACCGAATGGTACGGAAGCCCAGTAGTGCAAACCAAAAATATATAAAGAAAAACGAAATTAATATATAAAGAAAAACGAAATTATTAAATAAAGAAAAACGAAATTAATATATAAAGAAAAACGAAATTATTAAATAAAGAAAAACGAAATTAATATATAAAGAAAAACGAAATTATTAAATAAAGAAAAACGAAATTAATATATAAAGAAAAACGAAATTATTAAATAAAGAAAAACGAAATTGATATATAGAGAAAAACGAAATTATTAAATAAAGAAAAACGAAATTAATATATAGAGAAAAACGAAATTATTAAATAAAGAAAAACGAAATTAATATATAATGAAAAACGAAATTATTATATAAAGAAAAACGAAATTATTAAAAAAGAAAAACGAAATTATTAAATAAAAAGGAGAGTGAGGGAGAAAGAGAAAATATCAACTGAAACAAATACTTCAATCTAATGTTCGAAGTAAATTGTCAATAATTGTTTAACGGTATACGTAATTTGTTAATGTGTGGCATTATGCATAGAGGATCATGAGGGTGGCTGTTTCTGCATGATTAAAATTAATGACATCCAATTCAAAAGAGCACTTGAATCGCAAAAGGTCAAGACCTTGCGTATCGTATTACTGGATTCCCATGAACTTAACCTAGCGTCCGATCTGTGTACACATAAATCTTAGATTGTTTAAACTATAAAAAGAAAAATGATTTGATTACTTTGTGGGATTTGTTATTTACAAGAGTGTGCATTGTTTGTTCACAAATATCACCGACTTATAAATACACAAATTGAGAGTTTGTCATTTAAAATATATGAGAACAAGAACTATAGTACCACTGACTTATAAATAGTACAGATTGAGAGTTTGACATTTATAATATGTGAGAACAAGTACTAGTAGCCAGTACATCACCTCTAATTATGCGTTGATAAGACCAAGGAATCAACTGAAGGTGATTTGCTTTACTTCTAATATAGTAAGCAATCATTAAAATCTACTTCTTGTAACCTCTTTGACTTGTTTTACTTTTTGCACCTGTTCTCATTAAACAATTTTTATAACGTCAAATAAACCCAAGTCCGATCGATAACGTATTATTTTACAGCATTTTCTAATGAATGTATTGTGCGATAGTTGAATAATGGATGAGGGAATTTCCTTAATGTTAAAAATTCAACAATTACGAGTTGTAAACGTTCATGTTTTCTTAAATAGTTGTGCAATTAGATATCAAAGGTTAAATTCTCCCCATCCATGAATTGTAATGGATATGTTTTCGATGTAGGAAAAGGTGAATGTAAAGGCAAACATCTCGCTCGTTTATTGTCGAGACAAAATCAGGTCCATCAGACGCGGTGCACTAATGATTTATGGGTTCAGACCCTTACCGTGCACCTCTATAAATTCCGTATTTTAGTTTCAGTTTTTCTACTTTTAATAATTTCGTTTTTCTTTATATATTAATTTCGTTTTTCTTTATATATTAATTTTGTTTTTCTTTATATATTAATTTCGTTTTTCTTTATTTAATAATTTCGTTTTTCTGTATATATTGATTTCGTTTTCTTTATTTAATATTTTCGTTTTTCTTTATATATTAATTTCGTTTTTCTTTATTTAATAATTTCGTTTGCCATTATATAATAATTTCGTTTTTCTTTATTTAATAATTTCGTTTTTCTCTATATATTAATTTCGTTTTCCTTTATTTAATAATTTCGTTTTTCTTTATATATTAATTTCGTTTTCCTTTATTTAATAATTTCGTTTTTCTTTATATATTAATTTCGTTTTTCTTTATTTAATAATTTCGTTTTTCTTTATATATTAATTTCGTTTTTCTTTATTTAATAATTTCGTTTGCACTATTGGGCTTCCGTAGAATGGTCATTGAACGCTTATAAAGTTTTACAATAAACATAGTTATCAATCACGGTAGAATATGTTGTACACAAGAAATCACATGCCTCCCTTCAAATACAGGTAAAGGGTCAGGATATGTTTAAATGTAACACAAGAAAATAAATATTTCCATTAAATACAGGAAAAGTTAAGTGGAATTTAACCAATATATGTTCGACGGTATTATTTCAGATTCAGATATTCAGATAACATACTCAGAGTCAAATACATTTCTTAGCGATAGTGTCGCTACCTTGACTTATTGGCGTAAGAACTTATCATTAGGTTAAATTTCGACTGACTTTTTGCAAGCCCGTAAGAAGCACTTTCAAGATGGGTTGTGGTGGAAGGCACACCATTCATTTTGTGTTGCGGGCATTATCAACTTCCAAAAAAAATCCTTGACGAGCAAAAAAGGGTTTTAAGAGCTTTTATTTATGGCACAAAAGAACAGAGATGCTATGTTTTTAAAAGTATTTTATATATCGTTCAAATCACGTGCCCCTTTCTATTTATACGACCATTTGTTTCATACAATTGAAAGACCTTAGCTTTTTGTATTAATTAAGATAGACGACAGAAAGTTGCTTTTACTTAATAAAGACAAAGGACTCCCAGCGTTTTTGAATCTGTTAAGAAGAGATGCTAGCTATTCCCGGGCACCTGATGCCACCTCTCAAAAGTCAGGGGTTGTATTTATGTCAGACGTTACGTTCCCCAAATATCTGTTTTGTATATCTATATAATTTATGAGAAGTATACAAAATTTTAATCACTTTCTGATTTCTAAACCAGTTTCTAGTTGTTTTTAAAAATTTGAAACACTGAAAACTTGATTTTGGCTTAGTTTTTTTTCCCTAAAGGATAATATAAGACATGCCATCCTCTGGTATCTCGCGTAAATGCCTGGTAAGGTACCTCAATTTATTGTGTGTAAAGATGTTAAAGTAGTAATTCTTCAATGACAAAACCTTGGGGAAATT